CACACTGAAGTAGTTCAGTTTCTTATGTCATCCAAAACCTTTTGACTTAAAATTTTGTTGCACCTGAGTGGTCAAGAGTCACCAAGTCATGTAGTTCTCTGTCATAGTCTATGTTAGAGGCGTCAATTACGCACACCTTACACTCCTCAGTTGTCTTATCAAGTTTGTGTGGAAAAACTAAATCAAAATCATTCAGGCAGTTAACCGAATTTCTTCGATAATACTTCTTAAGAATGTTGATATGATAAAGCTTAGGTTTCCCCTTGACTTCTATGAGGTAATTGTTGTGATAGAAACACAGGCCTTATCTCTAGGCTTTATTGAACATAGAATCTTCATAGTACTTCTGCAACAACAAAATATAATGACTAGTACATCTAATAATGGCTTCTACAGGGATGGTGATGTCTTGCATATGTCAAGAGAAAAGTTATAACTACAGGCCACATATTTAAACTCACCATGTAATCTGCATCGGTGATAAATGGATAAAGTAGGAGAGAATCACACACCATATGTTGGTGCCCATGACGCACGCCAAACTGTTGTTGTTGTTAAGGCCCCTAGAGGTGGTGCAGTATTATTCCTGCTGCTGCTCCCCCAGGACCAGTATCACTACAATCTCCCCCTTCTAAAATATCAGAGACAGTAATCCCAAACTGTTAGGTGGGCGACTTTACACTCCCGACCTTCGAGCCCTTGACCCCTTCACCAGTTCGATATTTTCCAGGGGGGTTTGATTAACTGCTGGAGCAGAATCCTCTATTTCCATAGGGGTAGTCTCAAGGGGCTTTCCAGGAGAAAACAAGCATCTTTCACATCTATTGGTGTATCTTGAGATTCCACACAAATAGGATTTCAACGGGGGCTAAATGTCTTGTAGATACTGTAGTCTCTTCACCATTTTGGTAGCGAATGTGGGCGTAATGTGGATTAGCTTGCAGGAGCTCTACCTCTTCCACTAAAGGATCCATCTTGTTCATCCTACGGTGACTCTTCAGGAGAACGGTCCAGGATGACAAAACCAAGTGGGCACGGAGGCTCCCGTAAGGAACGACGTGAATAGTTGAGGAGTTTTTCATGGGGGGTTTTGCATTAGTAGCTGTGCACAGCAGTGATCTAATAGAGTGAAGTGCATCAGGTAGGACAGTTTGCCAGTGTTGAACAGGTAGATTGCGCGACTTTAATGTCATTGTAACTGCCTTCCATATAGTACCATTGAACCGCTCCACTTGCCCAAATTGCCTTGAGGGTTGTAGCTTGTTTGTTCTGCTGCAGGAAATACCTTTGCTACCCAAAAAACCCTCCTGAAGTTTCGTTACTCATGAACGAGATCCCCTGTCTGAATGGATATAACTGGCCATACCAAAAAATAGAGAACAACTGTGAAAGACAACTAATAACAGTTGAAGCAGCCATATTGCACAGGGGAATACAAAGGGAAACCTTGAATATTCATCTACTATGTTAAGGAAATACCTATTCTGATTTGTGCTTGGTAGAGGTCCTTTGAAATCAAATTTTCCAATCTTTCGAAAGGCGGGTGGATTTAATGAGATGAGTCTTCTCTGGCTGATGAAATTTTGGCTTCCCACTCTGCACATACTCTGCATGCTCTGATCACTTGTCGCACATCTTCCACTGAGTAGGGCATGTTCTTTGATTTGAACAAAATGGTACAAGCGTGTAACTCCTGGGTGACACAAAGCCTTGTGGAGAGCTGAGAGTGATTGCAAATCATGACATGCTGCCCACAGTGGACCTAGAGAATGCTTCAGGTGAGATGTTCTCTTGACCCCGGTCGAAACAGAATATCAAAGTCATAACACGATGGGTTTCCATCCTCCAGCGTAATATCTTGTCATTCTTTATCCTACTTTTGTCCTCTTGTCGAACATATACATCACGGACCGTTGGTCAGTCCTTATGGTGAAATGTCTACCAGTTAAATAATGCCTCCAGTGGCGAACTGCTTCTATGATGGCCTGGGCTTCCTTTTCTACAGCAGCATAACATTTCCCCTGATCCTTGAAAAGTTCTCGAAAAGAAGGCTACTGGTCGTCCCTGCCTGAGATAAGACTGCAGCAATGGCAATGTCAGATGCTTTTCCGTTTCCACTTCGAATGGTAGGGACTTATCAATGGCTTGAACTACTGATTTTAAATGTCCTGTTTGAGAGTATGGAAAGCGGCTTCTGCTTCCTTTGTCACAGGAAATGGGGTAGCACTCAAGGGGCGGACTTTAAACTTAATAGTTGTAGATCCATTGTGTAATAAGCAAAGAGACCAAGAGTTCTTCGGAGTGACTTTTTGTCTTGAGGCTTTGGGAAGTTCCCCGTAGAGGCCCGTAGTCGTTCAGGTCTGGGAATATTGAACCTCCTTCCACTACATAACCAAGGATCCCTAAGCCTTTTAGTTGAAAAAGTGCACTTTTCCCTCATTGTAACTGATATTTTTTCTTCTTGCGGCTTCCAAAAACTTATCAAGTTTGCATCATGTTCCTCCTGGGTCTTGCCACAAATGGTAACATTATCTAAATACGCGTAGTTCCCATTGAGTTGCTCTTCCTGAAAGAGTGAAATCCATAATTCGTTGGAAACAGGCTACCCCATTGGTGACTCCAAAAGGGACTCTGGTAAACTGATACCAGGCCATCACACTAGCCTGAAATGCTGTGTATGGTTTATCTTCATTCCTTATAGGGACTTGATTGAAGGCACTCTGCAGATCAATTTTGCTAAACACGTAGTACTGAGCAATTTTGTTCACTGTATCGTCAATTCGAGTAGAGGGTACCCATCAAAAAGTGTAAATTTGTTGATTGTCTCGAGTAATCGATAGCCAGTCTCCGTTTCCTATAACCATCTTAACAACAACAACCTGTGCACGCCAAGGGGAATCACTCGTTCTATAATACCCTCCTTCAGCAGCCTCTGAGTTTCTTTCTCAATGAACATTCCGATCCTCATAAGAATAGCGGCGTGACTTAGCTGATATAGGATGGCAATCCGCTAAGATTTGCAAACAGCTTTGGTGGGGGCTATCCCTTAAAGTGCTAAACCCACAACAACAAGAGGAGCAGTTCACCTCCATATGTTAAGGTACACTACCATGCAGCTCTGAAAGTCCTGACCAAGGATAACATCAGAGCACAGTTGTGGCAGAAATAGCTAAATGTACATCTTGATAAATTCCTTTCATTAACCTGAGATTTAC